CAGCCGCACCCACCACCGCTGGTAACGCAAACCAGATCCCAAGGGAGTACCAAGACCTTGCGGGGGTATTCAGCAAGGCCGAGTGTGACATTCTGCCCCCCCGCCGCGAGACTGATTGAGCCATCAAGATTATCCCAGGAGCGAAACTACCCAAACCTAAAATGTATGCCATGACGCCCCGAGAAATGCAGGAAATGCGGGACTACATAGACAAAAACTTACAAAGGGGATTTATTGAGCCAGTGAAACCAAGGGTAGCGGCGCTGGTCATGTTTAAAGAGAAAAAGGACGGCTCCATGAGACTGGTGGTTGACTTTTGAAGTATCAACGCTGTTTGCATACACAACTTGTACCCCCTCCCCCTTATGAAAGACATGTTAGCCCACCTAGCTAAAGGGAAGGTTTTCACCAAACTAGACCTTCGAGAAGCTTATTACCGAGTACGCATAAAGGCAGGAGATGAATGGAAAACAGCATTCAACTGCCCCCTGGGTAGTTTCCAATTTAAAGTAATGCCTTTTGGATTGCAAGGAGCCCCGGCAGTATTCATGCAGTTAATAAACGAAGTCTTACATGAACACCTTTACAAAGGGGTCCTCGTCTACCTGGATGATATTCTTATCTACACGGAGACCATACACGAACATATACCCCTCGTCTGCCAAGTACTGAAAAAACTGCTACGGGCAAACCTATATGTCAAACTGCCAAAATGCGATTTCCACCAATCACGGCTAGACTACCTGGGCTACCGAGTATCAAATGAGGGGATAGAGATGGACCCAGCCAAGGTCCAATCAGTTCTACAATGGCAGCCCCCTCGCACCCGCAGACAACTGCAAAGTTTTCTAGGCTTTGCGAATTTCTACAGACAATTCATCCCCTCGTTCACGAAGATTGCCAAACCTTTGATGGACCTCCTAAAGACAGGAAGCCCAGCGATGAAACCTCGCCCAGGACAACCCCTACAGTGGGACCTGACCTGCCAACAGGCATTTGAGATGCTAAAAGGACTGTTCGCGAAAGAACCTGTCTTAAAACACCCGGATCCGGAACAGCCTTTTGTCATCCAAGCAGACGCAAGTGATGTGGCAGTAGGAGCTGTGTTACTCCAAAAGAACAACCAAGGTGATCTACAACCCTGCGCCTACACTTCCCGCAAACTCACCGATACGGAGAGGCGATGGGCGGCGTGGGAGAAGGAAGCGTTTGCAGTAAGGTGGGCCTTGTTGACCTGGCGGCACCTTCTAGAGGGAGGCCAGAAGCCATTTGAAGTCTGGACTGATCATAAAAACCTAGAGGCTCTAAAAACCCCATGAAAACTGTCGCCCAGGCAAGTGCGGTGGACACAATACTTCAATCGTTTCAATTTCGAGCTTAAGCACATCCCAGGAGGGAGAAATTTCCTGGCTGATGCCCTCTCCCGGATGCCCCAATACAACAGTGAGCGGGAGCAGGTAGTGAATGCCATCATCCCCTCCACCCAAGCTGCGGCCCAAGTGATCACCAGACGGCAATGACGTGACCAGCAAGGCCAACTTGCAAGTGATTTAACTGCAAAATTAAAAAATGAAACATTGACCGACCCCTGGTATCGGGACAATCAACATCTCTTGACAAAAAGAGATGAACTAGCATGGAGGGGGACAAAGCTCTATGTCCCACAGAGTTTACGCATCCTGATTCTCAAGAGGAGCCACGACGTTAAACCAGCAGGACACTTCAGGTTCCTAAAGACTCTGCACCTAGTACGAAGGCAGTTCTGGTGGCCACACATGAGAAAGGACGTAGACAGTTATGTAAAAAGCTGCACCATTTGTGCCATGATGAAGACAAGGCCAGGGTGCCCGCCTGGATTGTTGCAACCAGTAGCTGAGCCAACAAGACCATGGGAGGAGATTGCAATGGACTTTATAGTAGACCTACCGAGGAGCAGTGGAAATACAGTGATCTGGACTGTAATAGACTTATTCTCCAAACAGGCACACTTCATTCCTTGTAGTGGACTGCCTTCAGCCCGTCAGTTATCCAAACTGTTCCTGAAACACATTTACCGCCTACATGGAGTCTCCAGGAGAATCATTTCCGACAGAGGGGTCCAGTTCACAGCAAAGTTCTGGAGGGAGTTCCTACGATCCATAGGTTCATCCCAAGGGCTCAGCTCAGCATTTCACCCGAGCACCAATGGGGGTGTAGAAAGACTGAACGCTATGATAGAACAGTATTTAAGATGCTACGTCGACTACCAGCAGTCCAATTGGGCAGACCTCCTATCTTTTGCGGAGGTTGCATATAATAATGCTGTCCACAGCAGCACGGGGCTAACCCCGTTCAAAATAATGAGTGGCATGGATTTTGTTCCCATGCCAGAATACCCGAGGGAGCCCCCTTCCTCAGTCAGTTTGACCGACTGGATGGCAATGTTGAGACAAACTTGGGAAAATGTTAAGAGGGCACTGGCAAAGGCGGCTCAATCTTATAAGGAACAAGCAGACAAGCACCAAACTCCCCAAAGACCATTTCAGCTGGGAGAGACAGTTTACCTCTCCACCAAGTACTTGAGACTTAGACTCCCGAGCAGGAAATTGGGCCCAAAATTTATAGGACCATTTCCTATAATAAAAATAATCAACCCCGTTACAGTGCAATTGCAGTTGCCACGGCTTTTGGGGAAAATTCACCCCGTTTTTCACAGTAGCCTTCTAAAACCTGTAGTAGGGTCTACTTTAAGGCCAACGCCACGTGAACCCCCTGGGCCCCTGGTTGTTGGGGGCCAAACGCACTACGAAGTGCAGCAGATTCTTGATTCAAGATGACACAGGGGGCGCCTTCAGTACTTAATTAAATGGAAGGGTTACCCATTGTCAGAGGCTTCCTGGGTGAAGAGCGCAAACATTCAAGCTGATCGCCTTATAGCAAAATTCCATGCAGACCACCCGGGAAAGCCGGGAGGGGGGGTGCACAGCCAGGGAGGGGCTGATGAGACTAATCTTGTTGTGTTTTCCCATGGGATAGGTGATGTCGCAGAAGTGAAGGGAGAGGGGCCGGATGTCAGCGTTCCAAATTAGGCTTTCTTCCAGCGCTGACATAACAAGATGAACTTTTACCTAGTTTTGTATGTTACAGATAGTGTTTCCTGGGAGACAAGGATGGGGGCTACATTCCTGTGAAAAGAACGTGCCGGGATGTAGAGATGGATCTGTATGATGGCCAATGGGACATTGGGGTTGGAGAGCGGAAGAGGAGGGGGTTGGAAGGAGGGGCCAGTTTGGCTGCAATTTGAATCAGAAATGTCGGATATTGCTATCCTTAAAATAAAAATGATTCATTAGACAGTTTGCACTTGAGAATGAAGTTTATTCAAGATAGCACCGAAACCTGACAGTGCTTTGAATATTTACTTTCCTGTAGTTTAACCTGTTAACTTTTTTTTTTTTTTTTTTACATAGGTAATGTCTGACAAATCAATTGGGTTACAAATAGAAGTACAAGCTTGTAAATTTTGGACCTCCATCACAAGATGGGAAGCTATTATTGTTGGAGTAGTTTTGTCATTGTTCAACTTGGGGTGATAACACATGTTTCTATTCTTTTTTTTTTTTCATTGAAAAGCACATTTTGTTTCAATATTTTTGTTTAGTTTTGCTTTGTCTCTTAATTTTTTTCCTTTTGGATTTTAATATTTTGAATAAAATATTTTTTTTTAAGAATTCACTTCAGTTTCATCCCAAGTAATTACATAATGCTTACTTTTTAAATTTATTTAGCAGCTTTATTAGTTATCTTCACTTAAACAAAAACTTTTAATAATACTATTGCCTTTTCTCTTTCTTTTTTAATCCCAGGCAGTTGATTTCTTTAACTATATTCTGCAGTTGTCTTTTCTTCTCTAAGTACATTATGTCACATATTTCTTAATTTTTACAGCTACCCCTTTCTTAAAGATCTTCTTTTTATTTATATTTTCATTACCATTTTATCCAGCATCGTTTTTCATATTTCCTATCATTGTAACTCCATGCATTTGTGTCACACTGCAACATTTCTTTTCACTCAATTTCAAGCAGATTCTATATAATCTTTTCTTTTATCTACTTTCTTTCCATTTTGTTGGCAGATCAATATATTTGGGCAAACTTTTTTTCCATACAGGATTTATGCTTTCTCTATCTGCAGTCATTCTGTTTTGCTCTTTTTCACTATTCATCCATGACAATTGTTTTACAAGATCCACACTAATGCTTTCAAGAACACCCCCCACCCCCAAAATAGGAAATAGTATTAACTATTAGTTGAATTCTGTTCAACTAATATTGTGCTAAGCCTAATATTGCAGGCTTAGCACAGCATAATTCAATTAGTCATCTGTTTAGATAATTGATCCAATGGGAAATGAATTTCCAATTCAGAAAATATTTAATTCTGTTTTACAATCTCTGTTAGCTAATAGTTGTTCTGATGTTTCCCCCATGAAGGTACTTCTCGCTCGTTCTCTGATCTCTGTCTCTGATTGTCTTTGTCTGTCTGTCTATCTGTCTGTCTTTCTCTCTCTCTCTCTCTTTCTCTCTCTGTCTTTCTCTGTCCTTCTCTCTCTCTCTCTCTGTCATCTATTCATCTATCTGTCATCTATTCATCTATATCTATCATCTATCTATCTATCTATCTATCATCTATCTATCTATCTATCTATCTATCTATCTATCATCTATCTATCTTAATTATCTATTTATCTATCTATCATCATTATCATCATCTATCTCTAGCTAGCAGAGGTCATTCATATTTTTTTTAAAAAAAGTAAATTAATAATTGATATTTTTTCCAGATTACCAACCCATTGAGGCAAGATGGATGGACCTACAAAAGTTATGGGAGCACAATTAAAAGAGTTAAAAATCAAGTTGGAAGCAAAGATTCATGGACAAAATCTCTCTATATGACTGCTATGACATGGTACCAACTTGATGCCATATAATCAAAGAATGCCATTTAGAAATGTACCATGGAAAACAAAACTGCTGTGACTGAATTTCTTCTTTTAGGACTTTCTGATCACCCAACGATCCAAGTTTTCTTTTTCCTGTTTTTTTCATCAATCTACTTAATAACCTTAGTAGGAAATATGGTCATCATATTGGTAATAAGGGCTGATCCTCAGTTACACACTCCAATGTATTTCTTTCTCATTAATTTATCCTTCCTTGACATCTGCTATTCTTCTGTAACAGTTCCCAAAATGCTACAGAATCTCCTGGCTACTAAAAAGACAATTTCTCTCTGTGGTTGCATAGCTCAGGTCTTTTTCTTTATTTTCATGTTTGGAACAGAGATCTTCCTACTTTCAGCAATGGCGTATGACCGTTATGCTGCTATATGCCACCCACTGAGATACAGCACCATTATCAACCACCGCTTATGCATCCAAATGGTACTGACTGCATGGCTGTCAGGTTTCCTGGATTCCTCTGTCAATACTCTTTTTTTAACTAACTTATATTTCTGTGGTCCCAGTAACATTAATCATTTCAGCTGTGAGTTACCTCTGCTATTGCAGCTGTCTTGTACTAGTACTTTTGCCAATGAAATGGTCATTCTTATCTTTAGCATGCCATTAGGATTTGCTGCCCTTCTCCTAATTATAGCTTCCTATGTACATATTGTAGGCTCCATTGTCAAGAGAAATTCTGCAAAAGAAAGGCAGAAGTTATTCTCTACTTGTGCTTCCCATCTCACAGTAGTTTTCTTGTTTTGTGGGACTGCTTTGATTAGATACATGAAACCTGCATCTGGCTACTCAGACACCATGGACAAGCTAGTGTCAATCCAGTACAGTATCCTAACCCCCATGTTAAACCCCATTATATACAGTCTGAAAAACAAAGATGTAAAAAATGCTCTAAAGAAGCTTTTTAGAAAGTGATTTCAAAAAGGCCCTTGAACTTACCGAATTTTGAGATTTCCTTGATGAAAAAAGAGAATGTATTAAGGCAGAAATAGCAAGACTGGCGACCATGATATGGCAGGCCTCATTAAATTACTAGCTGCACTTGTCACTTTCTCCTACAATTTTATCCACTCCCTTTAAATTATGGGATGGGATTCAACCTGTTTGGAAGGGCTTGCACTTCTAGGGCTTTCATCTCTTCACTTACAGTTTTTGACTTCAACCAAACAATAGTGATATTCAAGCAGATCCCACTTGATATAGAATATCATATTCATTAAGGCCATATGTGTTAAGAATTCATGGCTGATAGTTTAAGATAATCTTGATTCAATTGTATTTCTTATGGAGCTGGATGTACTGAGTCAGAGAAGGGTGCCCCCAGAGCTCCGCTATGTTCACCTTGGAAGACAGCTGCAGCGTCAGAAAGGGAAACAATATCCTCCTGAGTGGATCGGTGCTCCTGGAACATATATATGAAAACATGCTAAGGCTATTAAATTAGGAAACTGCAAGCAAAAGTCCACTAGTTCACTATATCCATCCCAATTCCCAGTTCTCCTTTACCTAAAAATGATAAACTACTTCCAACATCTATCTTTTTATTTCTATTTAAATTAAATTGCAATTGTTGGGAAAGTTGTCAATTAAAAAACTAAGGAAAGGTTTCATTATTAATAGCAAAATGAAGATTTTTGACCCTGGACTCAAAGATAATAATTGGGTTGATTTGCGGTAAAAAAAAAAAAAAAATCCGTATAGACTTTCTATGAGTAAATTAAAATATCAGACTATTAACAAAGTGCTTTCTAGTTTTATTCTGCTATTGTTGAAACTGTTATCTATTTTTTTCACATATATATCTAGGGTTACAAATAGATATTCAAGCATAAAAAATTTTTATATTTGCTTTGCAAGGGTGGAAGCTATTCTTGTTGCAATAGTTTTGACACTGTTCAACTAGGGGGATAGTATGTGTTTCTGTCTTTTTTTTTTTTAATTCACATTTTCAATATTTTTGTTTAGTTTAGTTTTGCCTCTGTTTATTTTATTTTATTTTATTTTATATTTTATTTTATTTTATTTTATTTTATTTTATTATTTTATTTTATTATTTTATTTTTATTTTATTTTATTTTATTTTATTTTATTTTATTTTATTTTATTTATTTTATTTTATTTTATTTTATTTTATTTTATTTTATTTTATTTTTGGCAATGAAATAGTAGTTTTTATCTTTAGCAAGCCATTAAGGTTTGTTGCCCTTTTTGTAATATAGCTTCTAATGTCAGCATTGTTGATTCTATTCTGCTGAAGGGAGGCAGAAGGCATTTCCCGTCTTTTGTTTTGTGGGACTGCTTTCATTAGATACATGAAACCTGCCTCTGGCTATTCAGACACCATGGACAAGCTAGTTTTAATCCAATCCAGTCAATCTAGTCAATCTCATGGGGTCCCCATGTTGGACCCCATTATATACAGTCTGAAAAACAAAGGTGTATAAAAAACAATCTAAAGATTGTTTTGGAAAGTGACTTCAAAGAGCTCCCTGATTTTACTTGAGATTATCTTGAGGGTGTGTCTCCTGCTTGAATGGGGTTTCCTAGGTCTACTGCTTGAGCAGGGGGTTAGATTAAAGATCTTCAAGGTCTCTTTCAATTGTATTATATTTAATCAATCAAAGAGAAGAGTTAGGGGAAATGTGATAAATGTCTTCCATTACTTGAAGGATTATCACAGAAAAGAGGGGGGTGAGTTTAAGTGCTACTCTCTATAGCACCTGAAAGCAGGATAAGAAACAATGGGTAGAAGCTTGTTAAAGAAAAATTCAACCTGGAACTAAGGAGAAAGTTCTCAACAGTAAGAACATTTAATCTATGGAATAGCTTGCCTGTTCTGTGCAGCTGCTTATGAATTAAGCAATGACTAAAAACATTTGACTCTGGCTTAATTGTGATCTGCTAAATATGGCACATTCTTAGCTTTTAGCTAAGCCATAATGTTTTCTATTTAATAAAGCTTTATTCTTAAATTTTCTTTTAGTTATAATTATTATTTTATATTTATATTGTTATCTTTATCTCCATCTTTAAGAATAATCTGATATTTGCTTTGTGCAGATTAATGAATGCAATAAATATGTATTTGTTTGAAAAGAAAGACTAATTAAATCCTACTCTTGCAGTCTGGGCAAGGTGGTGGAGAGAATTATGACAGAAGAAACACTAAGCTTGTACTTAAGTTTATTCCTCTGCCTTCCTCTGTACCTTCCCTGCACCCCGCCTCCATACCAAAAAAATAAAAATAAAATGGATAGAAATCAGAACAATTTTGCTGCATTTTCCTCATGTAATGTCTGAAGAACTGTGTGCCATTTATTTGTTAATCTGGGGATATTTTCTCTTCAGAATAGGACAACTTGCTATGCCATAGCTAATTTACTGCAGCCAACTCGTCATGGCCAACTCGCTGTAGGACAACTGTATGGGACAACTTAATGTGGAACAATTTTACACACACACACACACACACACACAGACATACACACACACATATATAAATTTTTTCAATTCACATTTTGTTCTGTCTCTCCTTTTGCATCCTTTCTTTAATTATTCTATTACACTATTTGTTTAATATTAATGTAACTCTTGTCCTGCAGTGAGTTGTCCTGTGCTGAGTTGGCTGTGGAGAATTATCCTGCAGAGAGTTGGCCATGACAAGTTGCCTGTGGCAAATTGGCCATGGTGACTTGGCCATGGCATGTTGGCAATAGCGAGTTGACTGTGACAAATTGTTATAGACCCTTTTCTCTTAGCTTTTGCCTTATAGAATTATGGAAAACAAGTAGTCCTTGACTTTTATGACATAAACAGCTTTTATGGTAGTAAGTCAAGGCATGTATGTGACTGGATGTGATTTTCCAAACACTTTTTGTGTGGGTCATAAAATAAATCCTTATAGTCATTAAGTGAATGCTGTGGTCATAACAGGCAAAAAAAAAAAACAAACACCCACAAAAATATCACAAATAATGTTTACATGACAATGGGATGTTGCAACTGTTTTTAAAGTTGAATTAGTTGTGCCAAGCATCTAAAAACCAGTTATGTGACCATATAGTGGAAGCCCAACATTTTATATTACAGTCTGTCATAATTTCAAATGATTGCTAAACAATGGTAATGTATCATGTTACTGCAATTCAAATCCAATTCCAAGAGCTAATTTTGAACTCTAAAGTCCATCATGTCTGCTGAGATAAGGACACAAATCTTCTGATAAGTAGTTCAACTAAGAACTGAGGTATTCTAAAACATAAGTTGGGTGACATTTTGCAGATGAAATAAGGACAAAGAAGTTATTCTATATTATTCTTTATTACCAGAGAACAAGTTCAAATATTAGATAGTATTTACGCCTGAGATTGGTCATATTACTCATATTCTACCAAATTCATTGTAAATTTTTCTTCACCTGCTTCATCTCTTGGAGTTTCCAGGAAAATCAAGAACCCACCCACAATTCAAGAAGAATTCTATAGACTACCTCTTTTCCCACCCACCCACACAGTGCTTAACAAAGTATTCAACAGCTCTACCCCCAAGAGTGCTGGGAAACTCCAAACACATTGTAAAAATATTTCCGATCTACCAAATCCTGGGGCAGGCCATTTAAACTGATCCTTCCTATGGAGGCTGGTGGCAACAATTTATCCCATAGTTATGAGAAAAATATCTAGGCATGGCAAATAATTGATGGGAACGTCTCTTTACTCAGAACATGTCTCCAAGGTGAAATACTAAATCTAATGTGCAGTCAGCTATGTAGGCCTTTCTATGATTTTATATTTCTTGCCAATCCATAGTGCTTCCCTTTCCTTTATATAATAATAATATAATAATGTAATAATATATTAAATTTGTGTATGTACCTATTAATTAGACTTTATTTGTTTAACTTTGAGCAAAGTGTATCATGTTCCAATAAAAATAAACCAATACCAATATTTGGAACTTGGGTAATATTATTCAATATTCTAGCCAAAATGGACTTCTAAAAGTCATTATTTTTTCTCAGAAATACCTGTTGCCATTTTAACCTCTATTGATGATGAATATTTAATTCATGTCTACTCTGGGCATGAGTATTATGCCAGAATCCTATTTTAGTATTACAAAGAACAAGGAACATTTTGGTTCTATAGTCACTGTATTCATATTAATGTCTAAACAGAAGAGCATTTTAAGTATACATTTATGGATGTACAATTTAATATCAATTTAGGAAGAATTAATAAGACTTGGATGAGCCAGAATTTACTCAACCCTGGCTGTCTTTAACCTGTTCATGACATAGCACTTTACTAAATCATTATTTCAATGTCTTTCCTTTGAGTTTATTCTAATTTCTAAGGAGTTAATATGTCTTGGCCTTAACATAATCTTGACTATATATGCCACTTGATTGTCATGACTAAAGATAATAAGGACAAAATGCTCTTATGATACTTAGTTATTCTTAGGGTAAAATTCTTAGTTATAATTCTGAATATATTTATATTTATTTATCCCTATCCAAGTATGATTCAAAAATACTAATTTAAAATAATTTATCATAGATGCAGATTCAAAAACTAATAATTGGTTAAGTGGAAGCTTATAAAGCAGAATTCTCTATCTGCTGACACTGTTTCAGATTTTTTAAAAATGTATTTATTGACAAGCCATGCTTTCTATACTCTTGACCATTACTGGGCAATACCAAATACACATAGCAAATTTCTTATAGGTTTTTATACATATATAGTTGAATATATATATGAATTATTCAGTTATACATTTATAACTCAAATATATGGAAACATTCTTATTTAAACATAGTTGTATCCGCTTTGGTTAGGACGTCAACCAGCAACAAACAAATTCATTCTTGACAATCTAAATGTTTTATTCTCTTTTATTTTCCTTCTTCTTTACTTAGTTTTGCACTGACTTACAATAAAGGCAAGGTTATGAATCCATGACAAAATATGTTGTTCTGAAAATCAGGCCCAAATTAAATATATATATCATAAGTAAAACTGTGCAACAAAAGAAATGTAAACATCCCAAAAGAAAGTTTACCTGGAAAGCATTATGGTAATTTTATGTTCCAATCACTGTATCTTCCCCCAGTCCAGTGTCCCCTACAATGATGTGAAAAAACTATAGTCATGAAAAGTGCTTAAAAATTAAATCAAGCAGACAAATAAATAAATATCTGAATAACTGTATCAATGGCTTTTTTAAAGGCCAGAACTATGAAATGTGGAAATATGCGATTAATTGGACATAATGATGGGTACTGGGGCAAAGATTTACAGTGTTTCTGAATATTGTTTTATCTCATGTATATACAAGCATTGTAATAATTGTAAAATCAAATGTGTATGTTTCTTTTTCTCTAAGATGAAGCAATAAAACATTGTTCTAACACATTTACTAGTCACTCAAATGGATCAAGCTTGGATTCAACTCATTGTTTATTGACAAATAGTCCTGGTTATTACTTAAACTATCAATGGAAAAAAGGAGAAATCCATGTGTTCTGTCTGGAACCCCATGTTACATAAGCTAGGTAATTATTAATGAGCTAAGAATAAGCACTTGAATTTCAAAAAGTTAAATCAAACAAGACTCTTAGTTAGAATCCACACTTAAAACAACAGCATGTATTAACAATAGAAAGAATAGACAGTATAGATACATAGATCATTTGCTAGTCACTTTAATCTATGGTGAAAGACAATGGTGATTTATTTTCCAAAAATAAATAAAATATTAATTTACAATTCTTCTTTCATCTCAAGTATAGTACCTTCAGAAATAACTTTTTCAGGCAATTTTTAATATCCTTGTTT